TCGACGGCGTGGGCACGGCGGGAGCCCGCGGTAAACCGAGTTACACCCCCTCGCAAGAGCTTACGGAGCCGGGGCGGGAGGGTGAGCCCGGCGGCCGGAGGCGGCGGGCAGGCGTTGCGCGGCGGGTGCGGTGCCTTTGCTCTCCTCTGGAGCTGCCGAGTGCTGCGACTTGGCGCCCGTCGCTGAGAATCGGAGCGCCGCTGCGACTTGGCGCCCGTCGCTGAGAAAGTCATCGGAGCGCCCCGCGAAGTGTAGGCACGGTTGTCAGCCCCGGGCGGAGCTTAGGATGCTCCGTGGTGTTGCACCGTGTTTTGTAAAAGGTAATGAATTATTCGGAAGGCGATACCTCAATTACAGCGCCTGCTGAAAAGTGAAAAGAAAGAACAAAGGGATTTATTATTTTACTTATTCTTTTTTTTTGGGGGGGGGAATAGAAAGCCAGGCCACCTGATGATCAATGGCTCATCAATGCCCAGGCTCTTGTCTCCAACGTGAGCCACCTCCAGAAGTGGGAAATACACACAAAACCTGGGAAAAGTAGTTTGGAGTTTACTCCTCACAGAGTTCCCTCTTAATCCCCTTTTCTCAGTTTGTGTAGTGTCTTGAATCGCACTGGTTTGGTTTTTTAGTTTTTAAAGCCCCCAAGTCTAGATAGTCCTGAAAATTATTACATTTGCTGTGGTTTGATAGAGGGTGAACTGATGAGGTATTCCTCTTTTTGCCCTACATTTTACCATAAAATAATGCCAAGGAATACACCAAAAAAGTATAATATCCTACACATTTCTGAATAGCTAGTGCTTTTCTGGCAGGATAGAGGATTTACCTTTGATTTGTTTCCCCTCCTTTGAAAAAAAAGTGGTTAAGACTGACTCACCACATTTGTTTACTTATTTATAATCTTGATCGGTAAGATAGTTTCATAGGATACCATTTTCAGTTTTTATCAAGCTTGTGCTTGATACCTCTTTGTTCTTGCTTAGCACTCAAACAGCTCAAACTCAACACAGCCAAAACAATACTTTTTTTCCCCTAGGTTTTCCCCATATTCCTCCTGTTTAGATAAGGTACCCCAAGTTCAGTGGTTGTCTAGGCCTGTAGGTTTAGTATGCTCTTTGATTCAGACAGGTTTTCAAGGATCCTTGAAAAACTCATCTCAACGATTCTCCGTCTCAATGATTCTTTCTACATAAGGTCCCTAACACGGTTTCTTCTCTCTCATCTTCCCACAGCTTGTTTTTACTGCAGTTCCTCTCTTTTTGTTCCTCTTCCACTGTCAGCCCCTCATGGCCACAGCTTCCTTCGCGCCAGCTGTGGCACTCAGCTCAGCCCTCGGTAAGCTGATGCAGCTCACTGAGGCAGCATGAAACCAACCCAAGGGAAAGAAAGATTTTTGCTTTTGTTTTTGTGAGCTGGATCACTTCACCAAGAATGGGAGCACAAGAGCTTGTATTAAAAAGGGAAGGAAAAGGGGGAGGTCCATGGGGAAAGAGGAAGAGAGGATAGCCCATTTCAACAAGGACAAGCTTTTAATTCAACTCAGTCATCTCATTGAGCCATCCCTGAGAACATACATGTAATTCAGCTGAGAGGCAGTAACCCATTAAACTTCAATAACTCCATTGCACTTGAACTAGTATATGAACCAATAACTGCAGTTTGTAAGCTTTCTGGATCATGTATCTATACATCAGCTTTGGGATCTTGTTCTATGACCAGGATTCCTAGCCATTTTTGTATAAAACCAACAATAATTTTCATGAGATCACAGAATAACAGTAGGTATTACAAAAGCATTCTCCAGTCCCATGGGAAAATATAAGGGTGTAGCATTCACAGCCTTCACAGCAGTTCCAAACAGTACAGCCTGCAAAGAGGTACAATTTCAATTCTTTCTGCAGTGGCAAACCTATCAAGAGATAAAATTGTCCTTAGGACTATGTGAAGACGTTTGTTTTAGGAAGTTACTCCAGCAGACTACAGCTGCTAAAATGCCTGACTTCCCTTCTTACTTTTGGCTCTGAATACTTAAATAACAGGTTAGCTGAGCAAAGAGAATATTTGTAGTCTGCAGTGGGTATGAGCATCCAGTGCCAAGTGATGAATGGGAAATCAATATTACTCCCTTAACTTGACAGGTTGATTATAGAAGGTGCAATGATGGTACCAAAGTTCACAATAAAATAGAAATGTATAAGACTTATTATGCAAACTTTCTGCTTTTAAAGTTTCACCTTAGTGAATTTAAAATATACAGAACCCTCAAGCACAAAGCAATCAATTGGTGTTGCAGAACGAACTGTTTATGGCACACTGCAAATCCAGTGCCAAGTGATGAATGGGAAATCAATATTACTCCCTTAACTTGACAGGTTGATTATAGAAGGTGCAATGATGGTACCAAAGTTCACAATAAAATAGAAATGTATAAGACTTATTATGCAAACTTTCTGCTTTTAAAGTTTCACCTTAGTGAATTTAAAATATACAGAACCCCTCAAGCACAAAGCAATCAATTGGTGTTGCAGAACGAACTGTTTATGGCTACACTGCAAAAGAACATCGTTCCCATTTTGCTAGATTAAGAACATGAGCTGACATCCTACTTTTGATTTATCTGTGTTAGTGAAAGACATTAAGTCAGGACTAGTGGGGGACAGGCCCTTCATCTTAACAGCTCAAAGTTCCCAGTTGACAACCTCCTTTCCACGTGGGCTGCCCCTGCTGCGGCGGTGAGCGCTCGCTCAGTGCTCTCAGCTGCTGTTCTTTGAGGAACACAACCTCTTGGCAGAGAGACGGTAACCATCAGCGGAGAGGAAGAGAAGTGCCTTAACTCAAGCTGGCTTGGTCTCATGAGCTGTATCAGTTTCAGAAGAGAAGGTAAAAGAGCTACAAAGGCACCATCTTTTTAAGGTCACACTTTAGTTGTGATGGATTTGGGGCTTTACATGTATTTGCTAGTCCAGGGAGCTGCTGACGCCCAGCGAGGTGCCTCAGCCTGGTCTATTCCAGGCCACAAAGAGAGGGAAGAACTTGGCTGAACGGTGGCGTGAGTTGATGGCTCTGCTTTTCTTTCAGTATTTCACATTTCCAGCCAGGTTTTCTACTCAATGCTATGCCACAACCGCAATAAATCAACACACTTGTCTTCCTTCCCCTTTTCCCCAACACTGCTGCCATTTTTGGGCAACATCTGCTCTTCGTTCCCAGCCCAATATTAATAAAGCAATAAGCAAAACAGGATGTGCATTAGGAGGCTAATGGGCTTTAGGTCCTCCTGGAGCGTGAGCGTTGGGAAGCATAAAGCGAAAGGACAAGTAACTTCACTCCTCAGGGACCCTCACCAAGCTAGCTAGTGTCCTAATGAACTCCCGAGGGCAGCTCACTGCTGGGAGAGAGCAGCTCATTATTTTTATTTGGGATGTCAGAGAGCGCACTTATAACAGCAGATCCTAAACTAAAGAGCTCATTTAGTACAAGAAATGAGCTTAACCACACTTAGATACTGTTCAGATAAATCCACCTTAACGTTTATCGGTCTCCAGAGAAGAGCTAGCTACAGTTTCATGAATAAAATAAAGAAACCATGAATGGGAGGAAGGTGCAAAGCAATAGGGGAAAGGAAGAAAAGAGAAAGATAGTTCAGAAATACCAGTTAAGCTTAGGGGTGACAGCCATCATCGTTAAAACTGTACGTATCAGAGAAGAAAGGTCTACCTTTTCTCACTGAGGTCATTCTTCTACATTATAGTCTGCCCTGTGCCATGCCCACCCATTCAGGGAGCAGCCCGACGATCCGCAGCGGGGCCAGGGCGGTGGGAACAATGGGTTCAGTTGGCCATCCAGTGATCATTGGGCACGGAGGGGTGGTGAGCCAGGCTTGCATCAGTGCGGGGTGGCCAGTCAGAAGCTGCAGGTGATAAGGCTACTTGCAAAGGGTAGCACAGAGAAGGCTCTGACACGCCTTGCCCATCGCAGGGCTGAATCTGGCACCATGCCTATAAACATGGGCTCCCCTTTGAGTGCCTGGTAGCAGGATAAAGCCCATGCCACCTATATTAGTCATTGTGATGGTTCTATAGGGCTTACTGTTTTATTTTAGAAGATGCCAAGTCTCAGGAGGTGAGTTATAGTGAATCTACTTGAGATAATTTTAAAAGCTGTATTCAAAATTAGACTTCCCTTCTCAAGCAAAAGCCCAATGTTTAAGCGTGTTTGTCTGAAAAAACTAGTCAAGCATCTTAAAAATGGGACTGACTCTCAATTATTTATGTCTATCTCCTATGCAAGTACACACAGAAAAACTCTTATTTTGAAAAATAAATTTAAGTGTAAAAGTCTTGGTTTTTTTTATACATAAGGAGTATAAAGAATAAAACAAAATTTTAAAAAAACTAGAAGAGAAAGCACAGAAGAAACAAGGAGAAACTAAAGCATGTTTTCTTTTTCTACATACCATTAACCTCTGGAGATCATATTGATAAATGCTAAGTGACAAACTAGGAGGCAGGGGCTCTAATTCCCAATCCTGCAACATGTCAGACTGTGCTAGGAATTTGTCTAGTGGGGCAAAGGGAAGGGGGAGGATGCAGGAAGCTTTCAGAGTCAGCACAGGACCTCTATATGGGCAGTCTCTCAGGTCTGAGGAGAGCCGTGAGATCCCTGCGCTGAGGAGAGGAGCAGGCCCTTTCCTCCACTCTGGAGCCGGGCTGGAGCCCCTCACTCAAGCACCGCAGGGTGCCGAGGCTCTGGGCAGCTTTGAGCCACAGCTCATCCTGCAACGCAGTGCTCGAAGTGCTGCACTCTAGCCCCGAGCGAGGAATATCTAAAGGCAGATGATCCACCAGCTAATCATCAAAGATATCTTTTCCCCAAGTTATTTACAAGTAAGATATACCAGATTATTAAACACCAGGATACTTTGTTAGGAATGTATACAGGGCTGTGGTAGCCTAGCAGCAATAAGATAAGATATGGTATATGCCTTGAATGCAAAGGTACATTTAGTGCCTATAATTGTTTCCTAAGGTCTATACCCCTGGTTTTAAGCTTTTTTTGCCCTACTGCCACATGAGTATCAGGCATTAAGCAGATATGAGATACTCACACAGTCTACATGGGAGAGGAAGAAGGGAGTTGTACTGTGCCTTTCTATGCCATTTCATTCTTTATGTTCACATTTTTTCCCCAAAAGTCCCAGTTCCTCTACAACATCCTGGTTTTAAAATGATAT